AGGGAGGGAGGGAGAGAGAGAGAGAAAGAGAGAGAGGGGGAGAGAGAGAGAGAGAGAGAGAGGTCTTCCATCTGTTGGTTCACTTCCCAAATGGCTGCAACAGCTGGGGCTAAGCCAGGCCAAAGCCAGGAGCCTGGAACTCCATCCAGGCCTCCCATATGGGTGGCAGGGGCCAAGTACTTAGGTCATCTTCCACTGCTTTCTTAGGCACATTAGCAGGAAGCTGAACTGGAAGCAGAGAAGCCAAGACCCAACCTGATACTCATATGGGATGCCAGTATCACGGGCAGCAGCTTAACCTGCTGGCCCCCAAGTTTCATTCTGAGGCCTCTTCCTTGGCTTGTAGGCAGCTTCTATGGCTCTCTTACACAAACCACTTCGTGCTCTGGTGTCTCTTAGAAGGGTACTGGTCCTATCAGACCATGGTCCTGCCACTATGACCTTATCTAACCCTAATTACCTCCCAAAGCCCCAACTCCAAATTATGCCACATTGATTGGGAGTTAGGACATTAACAATTGAATTTGGGGGAATACAAATATTTAGTCCACAACAGCATATGGCCACAGACTGTTGCCCACTGAATGTATTGGTTTTTTGTCAATATAAATACTACATGACCCAGAAGCAGTTGGTCTGATAAAATAATGGAATGATCTACTTAAGATTCAGTTACTTGCAAATGAATGAAAATAACCTAGCAGCAAGAAGTCCTATTTGACAACATGTAGTATGTGTTTTGAAAGGGTAACCAACATGGGACTGGTGCTGTCATATAGAAGGTTAAGACTATGCCTGCAGTATCCCATATGGGCACTGATTTGAATCCTGATTGCTCCACTTCTGATCCTGCTCTCTGCTAATGCCTGGGAAAGCAGAAGAAAATAGTCCAAGTACTTAGGCCCCTGCACCCATGTAAGAGACCTGGAAGAAGCTCCTGGATCCTGGCTTTGATCTGGCTCAGCCCTGGCCATTGCAACCAGTGGATAGAAGCGTTCTCTCTCTCTCTCTCTCTCATTTCTGCCTTTCAAATAAATTAATAAATCCTGAAAAAAAAATTGATAACCAATAAATATGCTCCCCTCCTCTTAAAGGCCAGAATACATTGGTCCAAGAATTAAGAGGTGAAAGTGGGAGTGGCTAATCTTACTATTGCACCTAAAACTCACGGAATTTTTGCTTCCTATTGCTACAACTGTAAGATCTGTGATTTTGGAGGTCTTTTTTTCCCAAAGGAGGAATGTTTCCACCAAGGGACATAACAGTGATTCTACTGAGGTTATGATTGCCACCAGCCATTTCGGGCTTATGCTGAGGGTACAGTGGACCTGAAATTCACCTGATTGCACAGAAACTACTGGTCAGGCATAATAGATCCTGATTAATAATGTTACTTTGTAATCAGGCTTTGAGGAGTTTCAGAGTGGTTTATACAGGTTTCCAACCCCATTCATTGTAATAGTGAGATGAATGGTTTGCATCTGGAGATCTTCACCCATCACTCCCCTGGGCCACAAAAACTTGGTTTTGGGGGCTTATTATATAGCAAGAATGTGTGTATGTGACCAGCAGAATGTAAGAAACCTCAGATGATATTCCACATGTCCTACCTGCTTCCAAGATGGCCCATGCTCATGTTGGTAGTTTTCTATTGGAGAGTGTATAATAGTTTCCCACTGTGCTGTTAACACTTTCATTACAAAATTAGTCACTTAAAGCTCCATATATTTATTACTGTAAAGTTCTGGAGATCGGAAGCTCCAAATCAGTCTTTGGGCTAAATTCAAGGTATGAGTAGCACTGGTTTCTTCTGGAAGTTCAAGATGGGAATCTATAACCTTGCCTTTTCCAACTGCTAGCCTGCCTGTACTTCTTGGCTCATGGTCCTTTCCTCCATATTTAAAGCCAGAAGAGCATTATCTGCAAGTTTCTCCTTGTTCCTGACCTTTGCTTCTGTTCTCACATTTCTTTCCCTGACCTTCCTATCTTGCCTCCCTCTTGAAACCCTGTTAATACAATGGGCTCACTGAATAATTTATCCATTTCAAGGTCCTTCACTTAATCTGCAAAGTCCTTTTCATCATATATAAAGTAACAAACCACAGGTTTCAGGAATTATGACACCACATCTTTAGGCGATTGTTATTTTGGCTGCAACAGGCCCTGATATGGGGAGGAAATTACGTTACACCTATCTTCTCCAGAGCTGTTCACATGGGCAGCCTTTGGTTATTATGCATATCCTTATTTTAATTCTATTACTATATTGTAACAAACTACAGATTTACTAGCTTTGTCATTTTAGGTCCTGTTATTTAGTAATTGTTCTCTGTCACCAATATTGGTAGACTCATGTTACTGAACCAAAAGGCAAACAACAAGGACACTTTATTGCCTGGAGTGTCTGTTTTTGTCAAGGAAAAATTGTGTTGCTGTTTGATAATGGGAGCAAGAAAAACTATGTCTAGGACACCAATGGATGACCTGAAGAGATCTCCAATGGTAAATGTTAATAAAAGCAGTTCTTTTTCAGTCTAGATGCTTTTTCTTTTTCTTGTATTAATGCCTTGGCTAGAACCTCCAGTACAACACTGACTACAAGTGGTGAGAAGATCTTCTTGCCTTTTCCTCGTCTGATGGGGAAGGCTTTTTTCACCACTAAATATGATGTTAGATGTGGGGTTTTTGTAAGTGCTCTTTAGGTTGAAGTTTCCTTCTATTTCAGTGTTTCTTTTGCAGTGCAGAATCTTCTCAATTTGATGTAATCCCATTTGTCAATTTTCACTTAGATTGCCTGTCCCTCTGGGGTCTTTTCCAAGAACTCTTTGCCTATGCCAATGTCTTGAGGGTTTCCCCAATGTTCTCTAATAATTTGATGGCATTGCGCCATAGATTGAGGTCTTTGATCCATTTTGAGTTGATTTTTGTGTAAGGTGTAAGGTAGGGGTCTTGCTTCATACTTCTGCAAGTGGAGATCCAGTTTTCCCAGCACCATTTGTTGAAGAGACTGTCCTTGTTCCAGGGATTGATTGTAGCTCCATTGTCAAAGATAAGTTGGTTGTGGATGCATGGGTTGATTTCTGGTGTTTCTATTCTGTTCCATTGGTCTATCTATCTGTTTTTGTGCCAGTACCAGGCTGTTTTGATTATAACTGCCCTGTAGTATGTCTTGAAATCTGGTATTGTGATGCCTCCCGCTTTGTTTTTGTTGTATAAAATTAATTTAGCTATTTGGGGTCTCCTGTGTTTCCATATGAATTTCAGCATTATTTTTTCTATTTCTGAGAAGACTGTCCTTGGTATTTTGATTGATATCACATTAAATCTGTAAATTGCTTTTGGTAGTATAGACATTTTGATATTGGTTCTTCCAACCCATGAACATAGAATATTTTTCCATTTTTGTGTCTTCTTATATTTCTTTCTTTAATGTTTTATTTTTTTTATTTTTATTTATTTATTTATTTGACAGGCAGAGTGGACAGTGAGAGAGAGACAGAGAGAAAGGTCTTCCTTTGCCGTTGGTTCACCCTCCAATGGCCACCGCGGCCGCCGGCACACTGCGCTGATCCGATGGCAGGAGCCAGGAGCCAGGTGCTTTTCCTGGTCTCCCATGGGGTGCAGGGCCCAAGCACCTGGGCCATCCTCCACTGCACTCCCTGGCCACAGCAGAGAGCTGGCCTGGAAGAGGGGCAACCGGGACAGAACCTGGCGCCCCGACCGGGACTAGAACCTGGTGTGCCGGCGCCGCTAGGCGGAGGATTAGCCTAGTGAGCCGTGGCGCCGGCCTCTTTCTTTAATGTTTTATAATTTTCATCATAGAGATCTTTGATATCTTTGGTTAAATTTATTCCAAGGTATTTAATTTTTTTTGTAGCTGTTGTGAATGGGATCGATTTTAGAAGTTCTTGGTCATTAGGCCGGCGCCGCAGCTCATTTGGCTAATCCTCCGCCTGCGGCGTTGGCACCCTGGGTTCTAGTCCCAGTTGGATTCTGTCCTGGTTGCTCCTCTACCAGTCCAGCTCTCTGCTGTGGCCCGGGAAGGCAGTAGAGGATGGCCCAAGTGCTTGGACCCTGCACCCACACGGAAGACCAGGAGGAAGCACCTGGCTTCTGGCTTTGGATTGGCGCTAGCCACAGCACGCTGGGCTGTAGCGGCCATTTGAGGGGTGAACCAATGGAAAGGAAGACCTTTCTCTCTTTCTCTCTCTTTCACTGTCTAAATCTGCCTGTCAAAAAAGAAAAAAAAAAAAAAAGAAGTTCTTGGTCATTGGTCATTAATGGTATTGTCTGTGTATAAAAAGGCTATTGATTTTTGTGTTAATTTTATATCCTGCCACTTTACCAAGTTCTTCTATGAGTTCCAGTAGTTTTAGTGGAGTCTTTTGGATCCCCTATATATAGAATCATGTCACTTGCAAATAGAGATAGTTTGACTTCCACCTTTCCAATTTTTATCCCTTTCATTTCTTTTTCTTACCTAATGGCTCTGGCTAAAACTTCGAGGACTATATTGAATAGCAGTGGTAACAGTGGGCATCCTTGTCTGGTTCTAGATCTCAGTGGGAATGCTTCCAACTTTTCCTCTTTCTATAGGATGCTGGTCATGGGTTTGTCAGAAATTGCCTTGATTGTATTGAGGGATGTTCCTTCTATACCCAATTTGCTTAAGGTTTTCATCTATTAAAGGATGTTGTATTTTATCAAATGTTATCTATTGAGATAACCATATGGTTTTTTTCTTCAGCTTGTTAATGTGTTATATCACATTGATTGATTTATAAGTGTTGAACCATCCCTGCATACCAGGGATAGATTCCACTTGGTATGGGTGGATGATCTTTCTGAGGTGTTGTTGGATTCAATTGGCTAGCATTTTGTTTAGGATTTTTGTGTCTATGTTCATTAGGGAAATTCTTCTGTAATTCTTTTTCTCTGTTGTTATCCTTTTCTGGTTTAGGAATTAGGATGATGCTGGCTTCACAGAGTTTGAGAGGATAGCTTTTTTTTTTTTTTTAAAGATTTTTTTATTTACTTCAGAGGCAGAGTTACAGAGAGAAGGAGAGACAGGAGCAGGGCGGAGGTCTTCCATCCACTGATTGACTACCTAAATGGTTGCAATGGCCGGAACTAGGCTGATGCAAAGCCAGGAGCCAGGTGCTTCCTCTGGGTCTCCCACATGAGTACAGGGGCCAAAGCACTTGGGCCATCCTCTAATGCTTTCCCAGGCCATCAACAGAGAGCTGGATCAAAAGTGGAGTAGCCAGGACTTGAACTGGTGCCCATATTGGATGCCAGAGCCCAGGTGAATGCTTAATCCACTCTGCCACAGCACCAGCCCCGTTGTATAATTTTTTAAAAAATATGTTTCTGGGTTTAGTTTGCTAGTATTTTGTTGAGGAATTTTATGACATATTCATTCTTCACTTTTTGTGAAGAGTTTGAAGAATTGGTATTTTTAAAGTTTGACAGAATTCACTAGATGACAGTGAACCCATCTGACCCTGGGCTTTTCTCTGATTATTGGGCTTGTGGGGATATTGACTCAATGTTTTTAGCTGTTATAGGTTGACCCAGATTTCCTATTACTTTTGGGAATCTGCCTTTTTAGAGATTTTCCATTTCATTCAAGCTATCCAATTTATTGCTAGACAACTCATAATATTTGCTAGACAACTGCTCATAATATTTCCTTATTAAGCATTTTCGTATCTGCAAGGTAGGTAGTAAAGTCCCCTTTTTCAATCCAAATTTTGAATCATCTTTTTTTTTCTATGAAAAACAGGTTTGTTAATTTTGTTGATCTTTTCAAAGGACCAATTCTTGGTTTCATTGATTTTTCTCTATTTTGTTTATTTATTCTAACCTTTTTAAAAAATTTAAAGGTACAGCAAAAGCAAGAGAGAGAGAAAGAGAGAGAGAGAGAAACCTCCATCTGCTGGTTCACTTCACAAAGGGCTGCAACAACCAAGTCTGGGCCAGGTTTGTAGGGGAGAAAACTGACACTGAGGACTGGAAAGAGGTATCCAAAATCATATCATTAGTGAAACACAAACTTTCCTATTACTCACTCATAGTAAGATTGGAAACAAAGATTGGGAACCAAGTATACAAGGCAGGTATCCTGATTGTACGTGGCAGGAAATGAGTAGGGGAATTTTCCAGCCCATGTAGCTGAAACAATAAAATATTATGACTTCATTCAGGGGCTGAAGTGATGTCATGAGGAATTTTTAAGATGTATTTATTTGAAAAGGAAAGTGATCCCCTACTCAGTGGTTCACTCCCCAAATGCTCATAATGGCCAGCGCTGGGTCAGGCCAAAGCCAGGAGCCTAGAATGCCATTTAGGTCTCCCATGTGTGGCAAACACCAAGTACTTGAGCCATCATCATCATCTGTTGTCCTTCCAGGTACATCAGCAGGAAAGTAGATGGGAAGCAGAGTAGCTGGAGTAGCAGGGACTTGAACTGGCATTCTGATCCAGGATTTGGGCATCCCAAGTGGTGGCTTCACCTGTCATGCTACAATGCCTGTTCCCTGACAAACTTTTTCCTTTTCTTGGATTCTCTGTTGGCTTCACCATCTGTTGGCTTCTTTGTATAAGGTAGCCAAAATTGATCACTGGAAGATCCAGATACATCCTGTTTAGTTTAGTAATGTAGCATCACCCCATAAGTTCCAGTGAAAGTATTGTAGTTGACCAATCAGCCAGGATAAGGTCATTTGGACTGACAGTGAGGAAAGAACAGCTCCCTAAAGACAAATCAGGGTGTTTGTATTGAAAGAAGTGAATGACTCAATCTTGAGTAGGTCAAACTGAGATGATCAGCCTGCCAGACCTTTTGATTCCGGAATCCTGAAAGCTTAAACACTTAATAAGCAGCTGAGCTAGGAGCCTAATCTATTCCTGAATTACAGTAAGATTTATATCAACTTTGTAAAACAGAAGGAAAACAAGCTTATGTCTCTCTTTAATCTCAGAAGACAAATTACAACATACAATGAATAATCATATGCTACTTTAAATTACTTTGAAAATTTCCTATTTGACTTTTCCAAATGCTTAGTGAATAGTAGTCACTCATAATATTTGGATTATTCAGTGCTAGAAAGATTCTATACTATAAATATTCAGACTCTGCACTTAAAAAGTGGAGATATAATTCAAATATCATCAGAGTTAACTTTTAAAACTGTACTATTTGGTTTTAATCATCATTGGATCATATCTGAAATGCTGACCTATACACCTATTTTAAGCAGCTTTTGGATGCTCAGAAAAGCAACCAATATGTAAAAAATACACATGCTAAAATCAGTTTTTTAGAAAAGCCATTTCTGTCTTCTCCATTTCCCAATGACTTTGTGCAGTCTGATAGTTACAGGCTCAACTTGAGTTCTGGCTGCCAATTTTGAACCCACAGAGGCTCAGGTGGGGGCATTTTTAATGAGTCACTAGTATCTTTTTAAGAGTTGTTGAAAATTAGATTTGTCAGAATCTTCAATACTGTTTTCTTTGAACAAAACCTGCATAGAGTGACATCTGCTGGTGATAAAGATTATATCTTTATCCTGTTTTAATTATTTTTTTGAGATTTACCAATGGTCTTAAAAATGTATAGCAAAAATGACAGAAACAATTTATTCCTTAGAAAACACAAATACATATGACATATATATATATATACACCAATATATATGTATATATTTTTAAAAAAGATTTATTTATTTACTTGAGAGGTAGAGTTACAGAGAAAGGGAGAGACAGAGAGAGAGAGAGAGAGAGTTCTTCCATCTGCTGGTTCACTTCCCAAATGGCCACAACAGCCAGGGCTGGGCCAGGTTGAAGCCTGGATCCAGAAGCTTCTTCCAGGTCTCCTACATGGGTGTGGGAGCTAAGTACTTAGACCATCTTCTGCTGCTTTCCCAGGCCATTAGCAGAGACCTGGATCAGAAGAGAAGCAGCTGGGACACAAACTAGCACCCACATGAGTTGTCAGTGCCACAGGTGGAGGCTTAACCTGTTATGCCATAGCACCAACCCCAACACACATATTCTTATAAGAAATATCTGAGAGGCAGAGACAGCAAGTTCATATCCACTGGTTCACTTCACAAATGCTCCCCATGACTAGGGCTGGGCTTGGGCCTGTATCCAGAAACTCAATAAAGGGCTCCCACATGGGCAGCAGCAACCCAATTACTTGATCACCACAGCCTACCAAGGATCTGCATTAGCAGGAAGCTGGAATCAGGAGCTGGAGCCAGTAACTCAATCCAGATAGTATTATATAGGACATAGGCAGTCTAACCAGAGAGAGAAGAGAGGGGAGAGAGAGGAGAGAAGGGAAAGGGGAGAGAAGGGAAAGGGGAGAGAGAAGAGAGATCTTCCATCTTCTGGTTCACTCCCTAGATGGCCCCAATGGCCAGCGCTGGGCCAATCTGAAGCCAGGAGCCAAGAGCTTCCTCTGGGTCTCCCCGGTCAGTGTAGGTGCTGAAGTATTTGGGCCATCCTCTGCTGCTTTCCCACGTGTCTTACCAGGGAGTTGAATCAGAAGTGGAGCAGCTGGGACTCAAAATGGCACCCATATGAGATGCCAGTGCCCTAGGACATTTTTTAAATAAGAAATCGAAGTTACTTCTTCATTTAGCAAACACTGCAGTCTTTTTCATTTGATCAAGGAAAACTGAAGTGTAGAATATGAAAATGAATTTAAGAGCCTATTTGGACATTTCCTTAAAATTGTCTATTGGGGACCCAGTGCTGTGGTGCAGTGGGTTGAACAGCTGCCTGCAGTGCTGGCGTCCCATATAGGCCCCAGTTCAAGTCCTGGATACTCCACTTCTGATCTAGCTCCCTGCTAATGTGCTAAGGAAAGCAGCAGAAGATGGCCCAAGTACTTGGAGCCCTGTACCCATGTGCGAGACCCAGATGAAGCTCCTGGTCCTGTTTTCAGCCTGGCCCAGCCTTAGCCATTGTGGCCATTTGGGGACTGAACTAGCAGATGGAAGATTTCTCCCTCTCTCTTTGCCTTTCCCTCTCTGTAACTTCGCATTTAAATGTCATTTGGGTTTTCATTTAAGAGCAGCAGCAATTTTTTTTTTTTTGAGAATTCTAGTAGACTTAATGAAATCCTGATTATCAATGATCCTTTCACCCTAATCCTCCTATTGTATTCTCTCAGGTTCCAGGCTTCATACATACCCCTTTCCCCATCCGTATTTCCTTCCTAGCTTTAGAACTTCGTAAAACATATCTAGAAGTATTCCTGTATTACTTTGGAAATGTTTCCAATGCTCTTGATGTTAGACCATAATAAGAAAAATGAGGACTTATACTCTGTGACATTTTAAATGAAAGAAGGCATGCATTTGTATTTACTGATAAAAGCATTTTCAGTGATAATACTGAATAGTGTACAAAATATAAACTTCAATTTGTAGTACACAGGTAGCATCATTGGTGGTCAGGTTCTATTCTTTTTTTTTTTCCATCAAATTTTCACTACTATAAAAATGCTCTGATTATTGGCCTTATAAACATGTGGGCGAGGCACTCACCATAGTGGTTAGGTTGCCTGCATCCCACATCAGAGTGCCTGGGTTTAATACTTGGCTCCATGTCCTACTCCAGCTTCCTGTCAATGCAGACTCTGAAAGGTGTCGGTGATGGCTCAGGTGACTGGGTTCCTGCCACTCACATGGGAGACCTAGAAGGAGATTCTGGCTTTCAGCTTCAGCCCTGGCCTACTGCCAGCCACTGCAGGCATTTGAGAAGTGAATCAGGAGATGGAAGTTCTCTCAAATATATTAATGAAAATTTAAAATAAATAAAATGTTAGTAGACATCCCTGATTTTTTCTGTGTAATGAATTTCTATAGGGAAAAAGTCATTAAAGGGCTATGAATAACTAATAAAAATTTAAATTAGTGCAATAATGGAAAACTGGTAAAGTAGTGAGATGGATTTTTATAAATTTAACTCTTTCTTATTATATTTGGGATAATTGTGAGATATTATGTGTTACTTCTACAGAAGCTAAGAAATCAAAACTGCCATATGTGCTTGCCGAGAAGATATTACTAGGAGATATAGCTGAAATCACAAGATGTTAAAATAGAAATGGTTAAAGTTATTGGGTAGGAAGGGGATCTCTCTATATCATTTCCCTACCAGCCATGAGCATGTGCTACTTTGGTCAAACACTAAGGGATTTTTTTTAGTTATTATTTTTCATTTTTTATTTTAGAACGTTTATTTTCACCTCCCTTAAAAGGCAGAACACAGAGAAATTATGTTTCATCTGCAGGTTCACTCCCCAAATGCCAGCAATAGTCAGAGCTGGGGTGCAGATGCCAGGAGCCCAGAACTCTATCTGGGTCTTCCATGGGCCTAAGCACTTGAGCCATCATGTGCTGTCTGCAACAGCAGAAGATGGCCTGGAAGTGAAGCAGATGGGACTTGAACCAGCACTCCAGTACAGAATCTGAGTGCCCCAAGCAGCAGCTTAACCTGCTACATAACAATGGCTGTCCCAAACAGTAAGGTTTTAAACTAAAAAATGGAAGAGGAGGTATGTGGCACAGTGCTTAAGATGCCCCTTGGGATGACTGCATCTGGTATCTCAGCGCCCTGGTTTAAGTCCCAGCTCTGCTTCCAATCCACTTGCCAGCTAATGCACACCTTGGGAGGCAGCAGATGATGTCTTGAGTAGTTGGGCCTCTGTTACCCACATGGGAGAGCTGGACTGAGTTCCAGGCTGCTGGCTTCAGTTTGGCCCAGCCAAGCTCTTGTGGGGTTTTGGGGAAAAAACTAGTAGAGGGGAGATCTCTGCCTGTTTCTCTTTGCCTTCCAAATAAAATGAAAATATATAAAAATTCACAGGATTCAAAGGATAAGGATCCTTAACCTTATTGCAGACCTGCCCAACTGGGAACCCTAGAGTATGGCCCAGGAATCTTCTTTTCAGCAGCCTTGATGACTTGGTATCCTGAAGTAATCTGAAAGCAGACAAAGACTTACATGATATTAGGATATTTATTAATATCATGTTACTCAGAGCATGGGAGCTAGGGACATTGTCAGAGTTCATTTATAAATAAGCTAGAACAGCCCTCTCCATTATATTTCTTAATCTTCTGACTTCATTGATGTCCCCTTAACTCTAACAGATGGGAGGACTCAGGCTGTCATTTTTTTCCTTTGATTTTTGGGAAGTCTTCTCTTTTTTCTCGGCTCAGTCCCTAGTCAGTGATACCAACTAGCTGGGCATTCTAGTGCTTTGGAACCCTTTCCATCTACTGCATCAACAGGTGAAACATATTCAGGATCAGAAAAATACTATGTATTGACTAGGCAAGGGGACACTGCTGTGTTCTTATTCTTAATGCTCATTTTCACACGCCTCATTAAAAAGTTAAAGTTGCTAAAATTTTTAAACATAGAATTCGGTATACTATAAATATAAAACAGAATTGCAGCTTAATTTTACAATGCTATTAAGAATATATTAGAAAATTATACATTCCAAAAGTGTATCAGCTTATAATGACTTCTGCTGTAGCTTTTGTTCAATGATGTCTGAGAAACGAGGAACTTTTTTTGAAATAGCCACACGTATGTCTTCACTCATATTAAAGCAACTTCTTGACTTTGTTTTAAAATGTAAAAGTGATGAAAATCCCAACTCACAAAGGTAGGTAGTTGCAAATGGCACGAGGATTTCTAGAGCCGTCTTTGCCAAGTTTGGAAACACTGTGAATTGAGCACACCAGAAATCCTCTAGTTTCATTGTCTCAAATTCCATTAGGATTTGGCCACTAGCTCGTAATTCGGCAAGATCATTTTTCATTAAATAGCCATCATCAACAAAATCAAGGTTAAAAAGAAATGGATCCAGTACCCATTTACTTGCCTCATTGAGATTTCCAATAGAAAAATATCCATGGAAGGAACTGCTCAGCTGCTGCAGATGCAGTGTTATTTCAGCTGCAATGCATACACCTTTGTTATCTGAAGTAATTATTTCTTCAAGAAAAGGAAAGTTGGTAAAATTTCTTTTCTCAATTCGTTTTTGCCAGAAAGGAAATTTCCTAACAAAAGTAGATAACTTCTCTCTAGCTGACACTGTATTCATCCCTGTTCTTTGCATAGATGCACTAAGTTCATTTAGGTGTTTGAATAAATCTGCAAGGTATGCCAGGTGAATTTTAAACTCTTTATTTTCAAAGTCATCAACTAAATTACTGCTTTGGTGGTGAAGAAACTGATTTACTTCTTCATACATTTCAAAAATATGAGTTAGTATCTGGCCTCTGGAAAGCCATCTCATTTCAGTGTGAAAAAGGAGGACACTATATTCTATACCAATTTCTTCAAAGAAAGCCTGAAACAGACGATGATTTGGAGCTCGTCCTTTGATAAAATTTATTACTCTCACCACAGTAAACAGAGCTTCCCTCAGTTTTGTCGGCAACGTCTTTGTGACAAGCGTATGAGGGTTCAACAAACAATGTGTGATCACAATATGAGGTAGCTCTTTTTTCATACAGGCAACAAATTCTGAATTTCCTCCTAGCATAGAGGATGCACCATCAGTACAAACAGAGCCACATACATCAAGTGCTATCTCATGCTGCACAAAGAAGTCTCTGAAGAGGTTGAACACGTCTGTTCCTTTCATGGTTACCTGCAATGGTTCACAGAATAGGAATTCCTCTAAAATCTCTCTTTCCTTTATATATCGCACAAATGCCATGAGCTGACTGCAGTCATCCATGTCAGTTGTCTCAGCAAGTTGAATACCCACTTTAAGAGGACTGGCTTTGATATCTTCTAGAACTTGCTCTAAGATATCTTGGCTCATTTCTTCAATTCTAGAATGGATCACATCATCTGATAAGGGTACCTGCTGAAGCTTCTTTTGTGCATCTGGTCCCAAAACTATTTGTGCTATTTCTAGCGCACAAGGTTTCACTAACTTTTCAGCAACTGTATGAGGATTCTTCTCCTTGGCACACAAATATGCAAACTGGTATGATGCTTGCAATAAGGCATCCTCATGAGATGCAACACCAAATGCTTTCAAGGTTTCACTCTGATCAGATGCCGTTGGCATATGCTTCAAGCTACTCAGATCATGCCCAGCCACACCGCCATGCTGTCTGTTAAAATGGTCTGACAGTTTTGATGGTCTGAGGTCAGCATTTAAAAATACTGAGTTACACAACACACACTGTGGGCGTTGAGTTCCGTCAACTTCTGTTGTACAGGTGAACCAGTAACGAACATAGTCATCATCCCATTTGCGTTTCTTTGACATGGCACACAAAAATTCTCAGGTAGTATTTCAGAGATGCCACAGAATTTTGCTTTGGGAATAAAGTATAGTCCACACATTAAAAACCAGTGGATAACCAAATAAAACAAAGCTATATCACATGCTATTCCATACATGTCAAAGAAATATCCTGCAACATGTCAGTTGAAAGTAAACCATGATGGCCTGGCACTGTGGCATAGCGGTTAAAGCCCCAGCCTGCAGCACCGGCATCCCTTATGCTCCACATTCAATCCAGCTCCCTGCTAATGAGCCTGGGAAAGCAGCAGAGGATTGCCCAAGCCCTTGGGCCCCTGCACGCACATGGGAGGCAGGAAGAAGCTCCTGGCTTCAGATCAGCTCAGCTCTGGCCATTTTGTGGCCATTTGGGGAATGAACCAGCGGATAGAAGACCTTTTTCTCTCCCTCTCTCTCTGTCTCTATCTTTCTCTGTAATCTCACTGCCACCTCTTTCCATCCTGCCCCAAAGACGTGCACACCCTCAGTTAAGAAAGACTGAATAGAAGAGAATAATACACTCTAAAGAAGTGCAGATTTTAACATAGTGGCCAGTTCTTTATTTTTATTTTTTTACTAGTTAAGGATTAAACAGACATGTAAAACTATTTGATCTCTGAGCAGCTTTAATTCCATCTTAAGCAGAGAATTCCAAATCAGTCTTGAATTTGGATTAAGCCACCCTTGGTATAGGGTAGGATCCAATTTGGCTCAGAATTTCCTTGCTAAGTGTAACAAACTAGCAGTCCATGATTCATATTGCACATATATAACAGCAAAACAACCTGCAGGAGAAATACAATTATTCTTGTCATCCAGAATTCAAAAAATTTCCTCTCATACAAGGATGCTCTTAACTGCCAATGAGGCATTTCATGATGCTTTTTCCTATAACTACCCTTCAGTAAAAGCAGTCAAGAAAAAAAAGCCAAACAACAGAATGAAAATAAGCAGCATTCCTAAGGTTTGCATTAATGTAAGAACAAGATTTGGAAGGCAGTTCTCCGGTTTAGTAAATGAGTCTCCTGCTAAAATTCAGATTCCTGAGCCCTACTTCTAGAGATTCTGATTCTCTAGCTCTGGAGTAGGGGCCTAGAATCCATACTGTAAATTGGTATTTTAGATAACTCTTATGAGCAGTACCTAGAATAATGATCTGTAACAAGACATACCTGTTACCATCACTGGGAAGCCTTTTTGAAAGTACACATGTCCCTGTACTGTTTTAGAGAAATAAATCCTCTTCTCCAGAAGTAGGACAAAAGAATATGAAATAAAAATTGTCTGGGTGATCCAGATAAAAATTCTGGTAAGTAGCCAGATTTAGATATATGAAAAATTACCGTTTAATTCCTAGCAGATATTTTAGGTTGCCAAGAGAACAGTACAAATGCTTTGATAGGCATTTACTTTGCTAAGTTGATGACAACCTTCTATGAGAGTTGAGAGACCTAAGACAGCGAGCCGTTTCTTTTCTCTTTGTCCTTAGCAAACAGCAAAGGTATAATCCACAGGTCTCAGAAACACACCTTAGAAAACAATTCTAAGACAAATAAGTGATCCCCAAAGTTTTCAAAGTTCTATGCCATACGTGGCTGAAATAATTTAACAGGGGCAAATTTAAATCCAAATGTCCCATTGAAATAAAAAGTTCATAGTAAGTTAAATCAAGCACATCTACTTAAAGTTCTAGATTTTGAGTGGATCTGTCCAAACCTACCTGTGAAATGCACTGCTGTGTAACTAATAAGCTGTTGTTACAAACCAGTTAAAAACTGGAGGATGTCTGCTAATCAAAAAAGATCTGAAGTTTAAAGAGTTGATCTTAAGTCTTTTTTCTTCAAGTAATGAGATGACTGGTCACTTGTTTAGAACCACTTATAATTAATGGCAATAAAATTGTGATATCAGCATAAAAATGCTGATATTACGTATACTTACAAGGTACATTTGAGACAGAGGGATGAAGGAAAAAGCTTTGCTTTAGTTTCACTGGAAATGATCACAGAACCTTTTAAGAGTTCATTCTTAACTACCATATGCTTACCGCCCAGCAGGCTTTCCCGTGTTACAGAACCTCGCAAGTTTCACTGGCTCCTTTGTGGTATCTAGGAATTACAGTATCCTAAAAAATATAAACAGTAAAAAAGGGTCATTATAATAAGGAACTATTGTTAAACAGGAGGGATATAGGTTGTATAGTTGCATTAAAGTCCTGTTTTGTCAGAGACAATTATTTACAAGTGAAATGATATCTGTGATTTCCACTGAAATGGTGTACTTTAGCTCACACACACAGTAGCCAGGTGGAGGAACGTGAACTGGACTTGAGTTGGTTCATTTTTGAGGCTGGATGACAGGTATACACTATGAAGCTATTCTCAAGTACAGTTGGAAGTTTTCCGTTAAGAAAAAGTAAACAAAAAGCATTATTATAAGATACAAATTCACTTGGAGACAAGATGGGAAATGAAATGTTTTTGCAAGTTTACGAGGGGCGGATATGAAAGAGTACCCAAACTGACAAGTCAAAGTGAAAACTGACTGATTTATGGAATGCTTAAATATATGTAAAAGAAAGCTCCAACCACACACAACTAAACTTACATCCAGACACTGCCCGGGTAAGTTCCGGAAGGCACGGGTGTTTGGGGACGCGGAGGCTGCGACCTTACAGCTACAAGCAACAGCCGGGCGAGAGGGGGCGAGGAGTGGTCGGTGGGCAGGGGCTCCGGGGGCGCTCCGCCTGCGGTCTCGGCTTGGACCCTTCCAACCTTCAGTTCTTCAAGCGGGGATGGGAACACTACCTACCTCATCGGGCTGCTGGGCAGTGTATGAGAACGCATGCCACGAACACGCAGCTCTGAACTGCTAGGACCTGATGCTGTTAAGAACGGAGAGCTTTAGAGGCAGCCAGTGCGAGCTGAGGGCGCCGGCGCCGAGCCAGGACTCTGCTGTCTCCACCCGCTCCTCTCCGAGCCTGGGCCGCAGGCCAGAGGATGCTCCGGCTTCTCTAAGCGCCCGTTTCAGGCTCCGGTTCCGCTCTCCGCTCGGGTTGGGTCCCCGGCCTGTGGCGGTGGAACCAGCCTAGGCGCGGTTCCTCAGGTCAGACCCCCCGGAGCAGGAATTTGAGTAGCGTGAAGAAACAAAACCATCCACAGCGACCTCCGCCCCCGGGGCCAGGATTCCATCCGGGTTCCGTGCTTAGCTTCCCGCCCGCACACTGGGTGCAGCGTCTCCCCGTACGCAGGCGCAGTATCCGAGGGCTGAGGGAAACACTGCCTTGGTAGGGAGCATGCGCGGTGCTGAGCCTCAATTTTTTTTTTTTTTTTATATTGTATACATGGAGCTGGAAATTTTGTTTATTGTGTCTGCCAGAAAGGATGAACTGTGGAGTCTCAGGAGGAGAAAACACTGCGAAGTCCACACAGCATTACTTTTTTTTTTTTTTTTTTAAGATTTATTTATTTGAATGAGTTACACAGAAAGAGGAGAGGTAGAGAGAGAGGTCTTCCATCTTATGGTTCACTCCCCAGAAGGCCACAACAGCCTGAACTGCGCCGATCCGAAACCAGGAGCCAAGAGCTTCTTTCAGGTCTCCCACGCGGGTGTAAGGGCCCAAGGACTTGGGCCATCTTCTACTGCTTTCCCAGGACATAGCAGAGAGCTGGATCAGAAGTGGAGCAGCCGGGTCTTGAACTGGCGCCCATGTGGGATGCCAGCGCTTCAGGTCAGGGCTTTAACCCACTGCGCCACAGCGCCGGCCTCACACAGTATTACTTTTTAACTTTCGGATCACTGGAAATAAAAATGTACACTGTGATGATAAACCTCCAGTCCACGTGAAATCAGTGAGGAAAAAGGGAAGCTCCTTGTACTCTGGAATCAAACATTCTGGCAAGTGGGGCATGGTTTAAAATCCACTGCGATCCAGTGGAAGATGGGCTTCTCCAGCGTGTCCGGTTCCCCATTTAGGCCAGTTCTGCTGTCTATCAATTACTGCATGCAGATGAATTTTCTAAGAATCTTCATTCCATCTTAAGGTAAGATTGTAAATTTTCTTTTTTTCTATATATTTTTAAAGATTTATTTATTTGAAGGGCAGAGTTATAGAGAGGCAGAGAGAGAAGTCTTTCATCTGCTGGTTTACCCTCCAAAGCTGAGCCCATCTGGAGCCAGGAGCCTGGAGCTTCTGCCAGGTCCCCCACACAGGTGCAGGGGCCCAAGCACCTGGACAATCTTCCACTGCTTTTTCCAGGCCAGATGAGAGCTGGATCAGAAGCAGCACAGCCGGTGCCTATATGGGATGCTGCACTGCAGGCCAGGGCTTTTACCCACTGCGCCACAGTGCTGGCCCCCTAAATTTTCTTTAAAATTCATTTTAGCAGCAGGATTTAAAATAAACCCATATTAGAAAGGCTTTGCAGAAAAACCTCAAAGTATAGACTAGAAAACACGGTGTTAAAGAAAAAAAACCCAATATAACCCTGCTATTTTGAGGTGTTCCCTAATTCTTTTAAAATTAATGCTTGGGGCCTGTGCTGTGGCGCAGCAGGTAAAGCTACTGCCTGCAGTGCCGGAATCCCATATGGGCTGCTCTACTTCCAATCTAGCTCTCTGCTTTGGCTTGTGAAAGCAGTAAAAGATGGCTCAAATCCTTGGGCCCTTGCACTCGAATGGGAGATCCAGAAGCAGCTCCTGGCTCCTGGCTTCAGATCAGCCCAGCTCTGGCTATTGCAGCCAACTGGGGCGTGAACCAGCAGATAAGACTTCTCTCTCTCTGCATCTCCTTCTATGTAACTCTTTCAAATAAATAAATAAGTAAATCATTTTTCTTAAAAATTAATGTTTATTCACTGTTTTTTTTTTTTTTTTCAAATATTTGAGAGAGACAGATTTCTCCCATCTGCTAGCTCACTGCCAGCAATAGCTCTGAGACAGAAAGAAGCTGGGATAGTCTTCTTTAACTTTTACGTATTTGTTTTTCATTTTATTTGAAAGGCACAGACAGCAGGGACAGGGACAGATCTTCCATCTGCTAGCTCACTCCCCAGATGTCTGCAATAGCCAGGGCTGGGCCAGGAGCCTGAAACTCAGTCTGGATCTTCATGTGGGTGGCAGGGACTCAAGTACCAGCTTTGATCTGTTGATTCCCAGAATGCACATTAGCAGGGAGCTGGAATCAGAAGCAAGCCAGGGCATCAACCCAGGCACTCCAATAGGGAGGTGAGCATCCCAAGCAGTACCTTAACCGCTGTGCCAAACACCTGTGACAGTCAGTCTGCTTTGAGGAATTCCACAAAGCTGGTACATGTGAGGGGGAGCGTCTGTAAAGAAAGCAAGGAATGTCTGTAAAGAAAGCAAGGAATGTGTGACTTGTGCCTTATTTTTAGGTATTGAGGAAGAACCCAGTAAACACTGAAGGCCTGCTTCAGGTTTCTGCTGGAAGAAACTGCAACAGACCAGCCTTCCTGGTCCAGAAACCAGGACCTTAAAACACAGAGAAAGAGGTAGGTTTTATAAGCAGAGACACCTGGCTTCACATTTTGCATCCACACTTAACTTATGAACAGGGCAAGCTACTTAGGGTCATTAAGTTTTTGTGTGTATCGTAACACATGGATATTTTCATATGCATCACCCATTACTTATTCCATAAAGTTCTTCTGGGGACTGAGATAACACATGAAAATTGTAACAGTTCTAGCACTCAAAAGGCAGCTATTTTGGGATAAGAAAATCAAAACTCATATCTGAGTAATGTTCTAGGCATTACCTGTTTTCCAAAATGAAACTGGATTAAGAAATGATTTTGGGTATTATAGAATTCTCCCTAAAATGAGAGTAAATTAGGCTTCACCAGAGGAACAGAGGCCCAAAGGGTAGACAACATGTCAAGTGAGTTTAAAGAGGCTGTGATTTTCCTAATAAAAACTCACAGAAGCTACCTTAGGCCCCCGCTGGTTAACCCACCTCCTAGCAAATATTTGAAATAATGCTACGAGCCACTCACAGTTAAATATCCTTAATTATATATCTTTAGTAGATACCAATGTAAGACTTTATTTGAACCATCCTGTGTTAAATAGTAGCAATAGGAAATTTTTTGACATTCTTAAATGAAATTTGCATTGCTATTTTAATTTCATACCAGTCTTAATAAGACAGCATGTTTATCCATAATGCTTGATAATTTGACTCCCTTACTCTCCTACCACCACTATTTCTGAGATGCTGACAATGCAGTATCCTACAACTGATTTTTGGTAACTTAGAAAACAATAAAGTTAAGGTACTCATGTGAGGGTTTTTTTTAACAGGCTGTTTTCACTGACCCCACTTTATCACTATTATCTTCACAATGTTCACAGAAGCTGCTTCAGGATCATGGTAGTTACTAATAACCCTGGAAGCCATCCTTGTAATTCTTTGGAGAAACCTTCGACTTCAGGTTTTGCTCTCTATAAATTTTACAAAGTGATACCTGCTGGCTGGGAAGATTAGGTAGTGTACCTATTAGGTATTAGGTATAAGGTATATTATTAGACATCAGGTGGTCTACAATCTTTTAAAATCTAATATTCATGATTGTTACAGAAAGGCAATCACAAAACAACAAATTGTATCCCAAACCATGTCCTACAGAAGTATGATTAAGAATGGATTTCTCAGTTTGTGTCCCAGCTGCTCCACTTCTGATCCAGATTCCTGCTAACCCACCTGGGAAAGCAGTGGAAGGTGGCCCAAGTGCTTGGGCCCCTGGACCCACATGGGAGGCAGGAAGAAGCTCCTGGCTTCAGATCGGCTCAGCTCCTGCTGATGTGGCCATTTGGGAAGTAAACAAGCGATGGAAGATTCTCTCTCTCTGTGACTCTGTCTTTCAAATAAATAAATGTCTTAAAAAGAAAGAAAGGAAGGATTTCTGTATCTAAAATCTCATGTCCAGAATGATAAAACAACTAGTACTGACTGGTCAATACTGACTGAAGGATGAGGAAAAAGCACTGTTTTTCCATTAAAACCACCACAAATTTAGTTCTGGTTATACAAGGCAATGCATTAAAAATCAAAATGTAATAACCAAATGAAAAATAGATTTATTACTTCACAGATTGACATAGGAGGTAAGGTTATTTATATTTTCTATGGATTTCCTTTCAGTTCTTGAAGACCAGTGTTGAATAACTTTTTTAGCTTCAGACAAGGAAAACCTTAGAAGGCAGAAACAAATGATCATTTAATAACCACAATTATAGGTACTAATAGTTTAAAAGAATGTAGCCATGGCTTACAGAAAGAGAAACTAATCTACCTTCAAAATGTGTAGTAGTGCACATAAACTGAGGAAATTTTAGGCTCAAATGTTGACAAGGAGACACTGTTGATAGGTAGTGAACCAAGGTTTCTTTTGTATCACTGATAAAAAGTTGGGAAATTAAATTTTTTTTTTCCTTTTTTTTTCTTTTTGACAGACAGAGTGGACAGTGAGAGAGAGAGACAGAGAGAAAGGTCTTCCTTTTGCCATTGGTTCACCCTCCAATGGCTGCCGCGGCCGGCACACCGCGCTGATCCGATGGCAGGAGCCAGGTACTTATCCTGGTCTCCCATGGGGTGCAGGGCCCAAGCACTTGGGCTATCCTCCACTGCACTCCCTGGCCACAGCAGAGAGATGGCGTGGAAGAGGGGCAACCGGGACAGAATCCGGCGCCCCGACCGGGACTAGAACCCGGTGTGCCAGCGCCGCAAGGCGGAGGATTAGCCTATTGAGCCACGGCGCAGGCTGGGAAATTAAAATGTTAATCTATACTTAATGTACCCCTTCTTTTTCTTCATTTCTTCAGTGTGGAAAAGAAGTAATTTACTTTGAGATATCTCAAAGCTTTATTAAAGTCAGGCAGCAAGAGGAGATAAGGATTTTTCTATGCAGTTACCAGCAAGAATGGAAAAGAACCTATTTGTTTTGTCTGTGCTGATACCCTTCTCTGACGAGTTACTGCTGTCCAAGGAAAGAGGCCATGGGGTCGTCCGGCCTCTGACGTTTCATTCTGTAGGCTTCCATTTCCTCTTCAGTGGGCTCTCGAGTCTCATAGATGCTATTGTAAGGCCGCTTCCTCTCATCGATCTGCATGATCTCCTTGACCTGAAGGAGGCGGGCTTCCTCTGCATTGAGTGCCTGCAGCGAGAGGAAAAACTTTAGTATCACGGCTCCACATCATATTTCTTTTGTTCAGAAGTAGAAGAGTACCTGAAGACTCCGTGGAATGTAAAGTGCTTTTATCAGAAACTACTTTGCCTGAAAAAGCTTAGGAGTCAGTCCTTCCACTGTCAAGCTAAGACTAAATACTATTTGCTTCATCTATTTTCATACTGCACAAAACATTCTACATTTTGAGTGTTACAAAAATTTTATTTAATAAAAAAATTGAATGAGGGTCATGTCAATGATATAAGTTCAAAACTGATGCCTTTGGTGGAGGGTACCATTCCAACTCTGCCAAGGGCTTACTGAAACTGAAAATTACGGAGCTATAAGCTAGAAAGCTTCACTCTGGGCAACATGTCTGAAACTCTAATATAACCACTACAAAAGCACATTTCTTCTGTGCACTAGTGACATTTATCAACTAGTACAAGGAGACAGCACACTTATACCCACAAAATCTCTACTAATGTGACCTGGGAAAATAACTCAGACTCTAGGCTCATCTCCTCATATTTAAAACAAGCTCAGACAGGACCAGATCATTCCCTAAGGTCCCTACAAAGAATCCTGTTGTCACTTTCGCTACGTAGACTTTACAAAGCACCTTTTTCAATTTCTCATGTTTCTTTTCTTCATCATCACTATCTGAACTGCTCCTGCGATGCTTCTTCTTCTTCTTCTTTTTCTTCTTTTTCTCTTCTTTCATTTTCTCCTGATGCATCTGAGAGGGGGATTGAAATATAGTGTTATTAATATGCCAACAAAGCCCTAGCACATATTTCAAACTTCTCTCTCCAGGACTTAAACATTTAGGACAAATGAGAATAGACTTACTTCCATGAGGGTTTGTGGCTTTTTTGCAGACTCTTCTCCACCTGTATCATTTATAATACATTCCTCAGAATTCTGTGTGAAAACATGTAAAGTGTATTGAGTATCACAGTTACCAACTATCTAATAAAAAGCAAAAATCTGAAATCTGGGAGATTTGTTTTACACAGAGCGTGATTTAAGAACTTTGGCTGTTTTACACCTTTAAGGACTAGACAATGATTACTTACGGCAGTCTCCTTTCCAGCTTCTCCAGTACAATAGGAATACTTGAAAAAAGAGTGACAGCACTTGTATCCCCATCGGCCTTCTTTCCAGTAAGATCCCCAGATATGCTGCAGAGACAGAGAGGTTACTTAAGAAGAAACTGCCATCAGGGACTTACAAATACTGTTGATAGGGAGTTTAAAATAATACAACCCTTTCAAAGATAGCTTGAAAGAAAAATTTTATGGATTCCAGAGCTGATGAACAGGGAGGGGGTGGTCAACCTGAAGTGTGAGAAGTTGGCATGACAGTTAAAATGTTATTAAATTCAGTACTGTTGCTGTAGCACAGCAGGTTAAGGTGCCACTTTCGACACTGGCATCCCATAATGAGCACTGGTTCAAGTCCCAATAATAACAGAAAATGCAATCCAGAAAAAACTAACAAGGACACAAAATGATTCCCATTCAACACATACTGTGTGATTATTGATCTTCACATCCTCCTCATACTTGGAGCAGGCAACTGCCCGCTCCTGTCCTTTGATGACTGTTCCATGTCTTGAGTACTCCACGTAGTCTTCAGTTTGGGCTAACAGCAGTTCAGCTGGGGGAGCATCCAGGTGTTCTTGGCCACCATACTAAAAGACATTAGACATTATTAAATACAATTTACAATGAAGATTTGAATTCAAATCTCTATGGAAAGGTTTATTTTCATTTATAAAGATTAAGGGGACATTCTTTACTGGGCTTAGTTACAAGAAACAGTGATAAGGTTGCTACCAAGTTTCTACAGGCCAATAAAAAGATGTCTCAGTTGTTATTTATATGTTGAGTATAGTAGATTACAAAATGGCCATCAATTCCTCTCATCCTTGCATGCCTGCCTTCTACCACATGACTTTGCTGGTCTTCCCATCATAAGGAGTCGGTTTCTCCATCCCTTGAATTTGGGTTTGACTCTGTTACTTGTTTTGCCCAATGGCAAGTTGGCAAATGGGGTGCAAGCAAAGGCACTTGTGCAATGTGGCTTATTTTTTGTTATTCTCTGAAACCCCAAGAATGCCATTCGTCCCATATGAGGCTCCCTTAGGACAATCAGCCTGCTAACTGTTAAGATGACAAGTGAGGCTTTATTAGAGCATCCAGCCTCAGCTGGGCAGACCCTGACAAGTAGATCCAGCTGAGACACAGAATGCTAAGAAGCTACTAAGTTTTGAGATGGCATGTTTTGTTGCAAAAACTCATTAACACAAAAAGTGTACACTATTAAGTCGATGGGTGGGAAGAACTCTTCTTTGTATTCCAAGTGTAAAACAAATGTCTATTAACTAGTAGCTTCTCTTTAAGGTGAATTCTTCTTTAACATTTTGATCAAAATTACCTTTTCCAGGATGCTTTCTTTCTGCTGCTCTTTGAAGTCTTCTTTTTTGACTTTGAAGGACTTATACAACAATTCTAGTTTTGTGGGATCTGCCTGCAGATGCACTTCAGATCCTTTGTCATACGCCTCCCAAGCAAACACTGGAGTAATTCAAAACATCTTAATGAGAAACCAGTTACATTTACTGCATGCTTCTTGAAAACAAGCTTTAAAACACAATTCCTGATTTCACATGAGCTGATATTAAATGCTTTCACACACAGCAAACACTTACACTGTGTCTGAGCCATTGAAATGGTATCTCCTGTGTATCTAACGAAGTTATCTCCTGCATAACTCACTCTGCAAAATAAAAAAAATAAATAGTTGTTCCAGAAATTGATTTCTTCTAGGGCAAACTAATTCATAAAACTGAATCTGAATTAAAATGAACACCATCTATGGTTGAATCAAAAAAATTAACATTCTCTTATCTTGAAATTTGTAAATTTAACTTGGTACTTACTCATCTGGATTCTTTCCTGCATTGGCATAAGGATTCTCTCTCATTGCTCTAGTTTTTGGATCATAGTAGGCAGAATTTGGATCTAAATTTCTCAAATACTAGAAGAAAAAATGTTAAAGACTGAATTAATATTTACAGTAAAAAAAGGAGTTAATCATAATCAATCACATGTGTGTGTGTGCATTTCTAGGGTCCGGCTGAAGGGAAAATACAGAATGATAACTTATCTTGAAATGATTGATATTATTCACACACTGCCCAGATACTATGTGAGTAGATAAAATTCTGGGAAGACACATATTGTTCACATTAAGACTTACTTTTGCAATATCTTCTCGAATTCTGAGATTCCGAACAGTAATTCGTCTCTTAGAGTCAAAATTCTGCCCAGGCATGTCAATGTCATCTGCATATTTATCTTCATCTTCGTCTTCACTATTATGATCTTTTTCCTGAAAGAGGGAGAGGAAGGAAGTAAAAAAAAAAAAAAACAGTATCTAGTTCCAATTTACACTTGTCTTCTTTTAAATCTATTATTATTACTAATATTAACCACTGAAAACTGAAAAAGAAATGTATAACTAGATACAGCAAATATTCATTACCGTCTGAGAATTTGGTTCCTCTTCTCCCCACTGGTGTTTTGGAGAATTCTGCATCATGAAAGAAGGAAAAGAATTTCTAATTGTATTACATTTAATTCTCTGATTCTTTAATGCTGTTAATACACATTTAACATAACAAACTTTTAGCTAGACAAATGGTCTTATTTCTCACTTGCAAGGAGCACAGATATTCTGAAGACATGTGTGTCACTGTGAATAACTTTTAAGGTATCTACAAAGCCAGACATTCTCTGGAGAATTACCATTGATATACCATTATAATCACAGAGGAAGATTAAGATGATCAAGGTCCCCAATACATATTAATTTCCTTATATGTTCACTATCAGACCTATCTTGTTATCAGACCTCATCAGTGTTCTATCAAGTCCAAAAATAAAATGTTACCACGATCATGAAATAAGAATTCTCAAACCCAAAACAGCCTTTGTCATATTGTGATTTAAGGAGAGTACAAAATCCTTGTCACAGAGACATTCTTTCCTTCACCAGCAATTGGTCAGGTTATTCTAACTCCACAAAATGCCTGCAGCAAAGTGGTCAGTACACCATATGCCCCTTTAAAAAGCCTCCAAAGACAACTTTGTGCAGCCTCTCCGAATAGTAAAGTGATATATCATCAAAATTTTAAAAATAGACTTACTGCATCAATAATTACACTTCCAGGACTTTAGCCTAAGGAAGTAATATGTCAATTATTTAAAGATGTATGTGTAAATGTGACTTGCAATTGGCATTTAGTATCAAAAATTAGGAAAAAGGAAATTTAGTTGATTATATCATTTACTGCACTCATTGGAGCACTGAACTTCAAACCATTAACAGAGACTGTATCCAAGGTATAGGAAAATATGTGTAATTTGCTAACTTTTTAAAAAAAATTTATTTATTTGAAAGTCAGAGTTTTAAAGAGAGAGAGAGAGACAGACAGACAGACAGACCAAGACAGAGAACTTCCATCCATTGGTTCACTCCCCAGCTGGCTGCAACGGCCAGTGCTGTGCAAGGCTGAAACCAAAAGCCAAGAGCTTCTTCCAGTTCTCCCCTGTGGGTAGCAGGTACCCAGATACTTGGGACATCTGCTATTTTTCTCATGCTGTTAGCAGGCCATTAGAGGGTGAACCAATGGCAAAAGGAAGGCCTTTCTCTCTGTCTCTCTCTCACTACCCACTCTGCCTGTCAAAAAAAAAAAAAAAGTTTATTTTTATTTATTTGAAAGAGTTACAAAGAGATGTAGAGACAGACAGACAGACAGACACACACACACACACAGAGAGAGAGAGAGAGAGAGAGATCTTCCATCTGCTGGTTCACTCCCCAAATGGCTGCAACAGTTGGAGTTGATCCGATCTGAAGCCAGAAGCCAGAAGCCAGGAGCCAGGAGCTTCTTCTGGTCTCCCACTTGGGTGCAGAGGCCCAAGGACTTGGGCCATCCTCAGCTTTTTTCACAGGTGCATTAGCAGGGAGCTGTATCAGAAATGGAGCAGCTAGGACTCGAACTGGTGCCCATATAGGATTTCAGAGCTGTAGGCCAGGGCTTTAACCCACTGTGCCACAGCACTGGCCCTGGGATGAGAGATTTTTACTGCATTATCTTTTTAAATTGTTTTGATTTTGAGCCATGTGGATTTATGTAAAAACAAAAGGTGTTCAATATTTACATTTAATCACTTTAAGAAACAAGTCTTCATTATGCTATATATTATTAAATTAAAAGAGCAGGGAGCAAATGAATATGTAAAAATGAATCCATCTTAAAAAATTTATAGTATAATTACACATATTATATAGATATTTGTCAGAGGAGTGGGAACCCTGGAAAGACCTACTTCCAAATGTTAATAGGTAGCACAGGGGGCATTTATTTTCTTTTCAAATTCTTAATTTCTTTTTTCATAATATATGTTACTTTAAAATCAGAAATACAAATGTTTTAAAAATGATTTTTTCGGAGTTCCCACTAGTTGTTGGTTCAACAAAGGACATTTATATTGCTACGGAGACAGCTAAGTCTTAGTTGAGACTTCTTTACTATATGCAGTTTATCTCGATATCAAAGCATCTAAGAGGGCAAAAATCATTAGTCTTTACATACATTTAAGTATCCTTACCAGGAAACAAATCACATTATGTTTATGACAACAGAGAATATATTTGTTAGAGCAAGAGAAACAGGCTCGTACCTATTTCTTAGCATTGGTAATATTGACAACAGCAGCTACCAATTATGAAGTATTTACTCTGTAACATACCTGCTAAGCACTAGGGTGGAAGGAGGGGGTATTGTCCTTTCTATTCAACTGAAGTTCAGAGAGGCAGATTAATCACAGCCAGGACAAAGCTGGATTTTACCCACCTATCTGGAGACCTACTGTGCCTCAGAAACTATTTCCTTGATAATTACTTTCTGAGTTCCACGTGGTTCCTAACTCATATATGCTACATGATCTTTTTGAAATTTAAAATCAAGGGGCTGGCTTTGTGGCACAGCGGGTTAAGTCACCACTGCCTGTGATGCTGGCATCCTATATTGAAGTGCTGGTTCAAGTTCCTGCTGCTCCATTTCTGATGCAGCTACCTGCTAATGTGCTTGGGAAAGCAGTGTAAGATCATCTGAGTGCTTGGGCCCCTGCCACCCAAAACTGGATGGAGTTCTTGGCTCCTGGCTGGGCCTTGCCCAGCCCTGATCATGTGGCAACTTGGGGAGTGAACCAGTGGGTAAAGATCTCTCTCCCTCTCTCTTTATAACTGCCTTTCAAATAAAACTTTTGTAACTCTTACATGATATATTTACTAGGTCGAGATGAATAAAAAAGAAAAAGAAAATAAAAAATTGGTTACAATATACCTTATAGAGAATTTTTAGGGTAAAAAGAATCCACTAATTACATTCTAGTATTTTTTCTGAATGATATTCTATTTTTTTCATATATCATTAAAATATAAGTGTTACTGAGTATTGTTAACAAAGTCTTAACATGCCATTTTAAAAGCTATACAGGGCTGTGCATTTGGTATAGTGGTTAAGACACTGTTTGGGCTGGACGCACCCATAACAGAGTGCCTGGGTTCGAATTCTGGCTCTGCTCCAGACTCCAGTTCTCTGTTAGTGCATACCCTGAAAGGCAGCAGGCAACAGCTTGAATACTTGAGGGCTTTGCCACCCACAGAGGGTCCCAGATTGAATTTCTAGCCTCTGGCTCAGCCCCAGTTGTTGAAGGCATTTAGAGAATAAACCAACAGATGAGAAATTTCTCTTTCATATAAAATAAATAAAAATTATATAAATAAAAGCTATGCAACATTCTATCATGTGATACACAATAATTACTTAACCAATTGTCTGTTCCCAGGACATTTAAGCTATTTCAATTTCTTACTGTTGTGAAAAATGTTACAATAAACATCTTTGGCAATAACAATTTTTTGGATTCTAGAAAATTCCTTAGGACAGATGATTTACTAATTCCATGAAAGGTCTATGAATATTTTATGGCAATATTCTTTCCAAAACAATTGTATAAATTTCCATTCCCAAGAATAGTATAAAAAATATCAGCTTTACTCATTCATTAGTATTTTTTGCCCCAAATCTCTTCTAACTGGAAAGACCTATGAAATGAATTTTTGCTGCAATTTTCATTTCTTTTGAAAGAGTCTGAATATATTTTATTATTACTTACAGCTTGTTCTACTAATTTTCCTGAGGCCAGTTCTTCCTGGAGTTTCTGGGCTTTCAGTGTTCGTTTTGCCTAAAAAGAAAAGAGAAACACTGAAATGTTACTTAGAAAATTCAAATGTTCATTTAATTTTTCTGTATTTAAAATTATTACCATTATTGTTTCAGAAAAAAAAAATCATGGAACAAGGCAGGCTATCTATCTGAGGCTTCTGGCAGCTCTTGAGCTATGACTCCCTAAAAAACAGGAGTTACAAACTCCTGCTCGAACCAGGCACTAATGTTGATGGAGACAGATGGCATGAGTGGCAAACTGCAGGAAACAAGGCAGTTGCCAGGTCGATTGCAAATGACTGACTCTTGCCAGGCAGGCCCAAGGTTACCATATATTTCACTGTTAAGAAAAGATTAAATCAGATTTTTCTGTGAAATCTCAGGATCTTTAAATGTTACCTGTAATTTTAAAAGGAAGGTATTGTTGACTATGGTTTTGAAAGAATGAGGGTGAAGTGAAACCAAACAGAAAAAAACCCAAGACCGAATTAAAATAAAATTCAGTTTCCCAAAACAAGTTATCTCTTCTGCTTCCACCACCTCCAAATACTATACAAGACAATTATAAAAATGCACCACAAACAAGCTACCACCTGGGAGCCAAGAGTTTAGAATATCAGAAAGTCAAAAGCTTTGGAGATGATGTATTTTCATGTTTTCAGTCTCTTTTGGAAGTCAGAAGTAAAGAACAATAAAAGAATCATGTAAGACATTGCTGACAGGGGCCAGCATTGTGGTACAGCAGGTTAATGCCCTGGCCTGAAGTGCTGGCATCCCATATGGGCGCCAGTTCTAATCCCGGCTGCTCCACTTCTGATCCAGCTCTCTGCTATGGCCTGGGAAAGCAGTAGAAGATGGCCCAATCCTTGGGCCCCTGCACCCACATGGGAGACCTGGAGGAAGCTCCTGGCTCCTGGCTTCGGATCAGTGCAGATCTGGCCACTGCAGTCATCTGAGGAGTGAGCCAGCAGATGGAAGACTTTTCTCTCTGTCTCTACCTCTCTCTGTAACTCTTTCAAATAAAAAAAATCTTAAAAAAAAAAAAAAAAAGACATTGCTGAAAACAGTGGCATCACACTATTTTTTTTTTTTTTTTTTTTTGGCAGAGTGGACAGTGAGAGAGACAGAGAGAAAGGTCTTCCTTTGCTGTTGGTTCACCCTCCAATGGCCGCCGCGGCTGGTGCGCTGCGGCCGGCGCACCGCACTGATCCGATGGCAGGAGCCAGGTACTTGTTCTGGTCTCCCATGGGGTGCAGGGGGTGTAGGGCCCAAGCACTTGGGCCATCCTCCACTGCATTCCCTGGTCACAGCAGAGAGCTGGCCTGGAAGAGGGGCAACTGGGACAGAATCCGGTGCCCTGACCGGGACTAGAACCCGGTGTGCTGGCGCCGCAAGGCGGAGGATTAGCCTATTGAGCCACGGCGCCGGCGCCATCACACTATTTTCACTACTCATCTGGGTCTTCTACTACTATTATGAAAATGGTATCATTTTTATAATTAAGAACTGAAAAATGGAGTTGCTAAATTAGAGATACAGTAAGATGTATTCTTTCAGGACAGTAGAAAAGCAGAGAATTTTGCTCACCAGATCAACTTTGGCATACTCTTCTACAATTTTCATGTGTTCTTCTGGATTGTAGCCATTCCATCGATCCCTCTTCCCATCGTAGTCAAACATCAGTTGAGGCTGGATATGTTCATCTGGAGCGATATTAGTACCTGTAAATTTGGCTCCAACTCGCCTGGGTCTCTGGGACACAAAACATTTAAACGTTTCCTAAGTACCAGTAATCCAGAGTAAATCGCCTAAAACCTTTGCAGAGTATGATCGCTCCATGGAATGGTACAGTCTATGCAACGATCAGGTAGTCTTCCTGCAGAATATTTTGATGCTGCTAATTTCATTCAAATTAATTTTTAATTACCTTGTATCTAAATATAGGTAACTTTAGGAAAACAGAGGTAAACTCTCAGGCAAGAAAAGACTCTCTGACCAGTTTCCAAAATTCTCAAAAGTGAACTCACCTCAAAGCAGTCTTTCTTTTTGTGTGTCATGGCCCCACAATTTTCACAGGCTCCTTTGCGGTACTTCGTAGTTATGGAATTCTGTAAGTAATATGAAGACAAAGAAAACATTTTAGTTATCTGAATCCTTTAGAAATAACTTTGGCTGTCATTATTACCTTATTTAGTGAAAAGATTTGTTTATTAAGAAGAAAACAAGTTGCAGACTCCACACATTTGAAAACCAGAATGTTCAAGGACTTCAGCAATATAAAATTTATATTAGTAAAGAAGTAACATATAAAGTGATATATACTGTGAATTTCCATACCATAACAATTATATTTAAAAAATAGAAGCTAAAGAAGTATGTACTGCAACTCTGAATATCATATAAAGTATTATATAATTTGTTTCTACTTTATACTGTATCATTAACGTTCTTATATTAAGTTCTTATAATAAGAGCTCCATGTCCACAGGATATATACAGACTGTCTGTGTACCTCTTTCACACCCCTCTTGTACCATTCTCCAGATGAACTGAATTGCTTCTGTTTCTCTGGCTGTGGTCTCTGATGCTTTAAAGTAGGTCTTTTCGATGGATCAATATACCATGGTACGGATGAGATATACTGAGGAATATGAGGGTTGATGTCTCTGAAGTAAAATTTTAAAAAGATTTTAAGAATAAAGTTTGAAATTATTGATTTAATTAAAAAGGTAACCAATACAGAATCTAAAAACAGAATATTGTAGCAGAAGAGGGGAGAGAATATAGTTGTTACCTCTATAATAAAGTACAACCAAAGTAAAGTACTTTATATTATAGAGAAAAAATTTCCAATCAAGATGCTAAGACAGTGATATGACTGCAGAGGGGAGAGAGAAAGGAAGACAGGAATGGATGTTAATGAGCTAAATCTTCTATCAAACCAAGAAGTTAACAGATAATCTTATGCGTATATACTTGATAAAATAAAAACAAAAATTATGCAAATCATAAAGATAGCTTCCTGTCAAGGCAAAGGTTGAACAACTGATAAAGTCAGTGGATGTGAATTTGAATTCTGAATGAAAAGAGTATGCAAAAAAATCACTTACTTCCCTTCTTCATCAACTTCTGCAGGAGCATTACCCAGTTTTCGCTGTTCTTCTAGCTCCTTCTTCTTCCTCCAGTCCTCTCTAGTCATCTTCTTTGGTTCCTCCAAACTCATTTCTTTGGACCCCGACAGGGGTGCAGCATTAACTGCGTCCACAGCTGCTGCTGACATGGTGATGTGGACTCCACTAAAGAAGGGAAGAAATAAGTCATTTGTAGTACAGGGCAGGACTTCATGAGTTCATCCCAGAAAACTACCAGAAGTACACCCTGAAACAGAATTGTCGTCTACATATGTCTTCCATGTTCTTCCACAGTGCCTGTAAGGAAGGGTCTCCTTCCCCTGTGTAGAGATCTCTAGGGATGGTTAGTACCGTTTCTCCCTCAACTCTAATTTACAAGTGAAGAAAGACAGACACACATGTATTTAAACTTTCACAGGACTTTTTCTCTTATATTCCTGGCTTCCTCTTTCTTTGTATGTGTTTCAAACTTGTCCACCACAGTACCCTTAATGAGAGCAAACAAGTTCTCTCTCTTCCTTTAAGACTGAATGCCTTGGGGCTGACACTGTGGCACAGTAGGTTAATCCTCCGCCGGAAGCGCCAGCATCCCATATGGGCACCGGTTCTAGTCCCAGCTGTTCCTCTTCTGGTCCAGTGCTCTGCTATGGCCTGGGAAAGCAGTGGAAGATGGCCCCACTGCTTGGCCCCTGTACCCATGTGGGAGACCCGAAGAAGCTCCTGAGTCCTTGCTGTGGTCTAGCCCAGCCCTGGCCGTTGCGGCCATTTGGGGAGTGAACCAGCAAATGGGAGACCTCTCTGTCTCTCCCTCTCATTGTCTGTAACTCTATCTCTCAAATAAATAAATAAAATATTTTAAAAAATGATCTGCATGAGAGTAAGTACTTCAAATGTTTGTGGAAAATGGAATTAAAAGAATTTTATTTTGGTACAAGAAATTTTTGAAATCTATGCAAAGATTTTTCATAATATGTATTTTTCAAATTTTTTGAAGATCCTTTGTATGCATGGGTTTCAAAGCTTTTTTGCACTAAGCTTTCTTCCATGAACCTTCTGAAGTACTTATATTCATTGTCTTTTTTCCCTCATCTTTGCTTCTCTCCTCAGTCACAGGACTTAGCTTCCACATTTGGTCACTTCAAATAGTTACCACTAAGTTTTCGATATCAAAGTGTTAAATCAATTGTACATTTTTCAGTTCTCTTCCTTCCCCTTTTGATATATTCTTATCCCTTGGTTTGTAAAGCTCTACATTTTGTTGGCTTTTCCTGTACCTCTTGCTGCTCTTCCTGTCTGCTTTTGCAGATTCATCCACTTCTGCCATTATTTTTCTTTTTCTAAATTTTTATTATTTTTAAAAATCTTTATTTATTGAGAGGCAGAGGCAGAGAAAGAGAGATCTTCCATCCGCTGGTTCACTCCCCCAGATGGCTGCAATAGCCAGAGCGGCACCGATCGGAAGCCAGGAGCCAGGAGCTTCTTCTAGGTCTCCCACGTGGGTGCAAGGGCCCAAGGATTTGGGCCATCTTCCACAACTTTCCCAGGCCATAGCAGAGATCTGGATAGGAAGTGGAGCAGCTGGGTCTCAAACAGAAACCCATATGGGATTCTGGTGCTGCAGGAGGCGGCTCAACCCACTATGCCGCAGCACAGGCCCTACTTCTGCCATTATTTAATTTCGACTTCTCAAAGCTCTTTCAGTACTCTGAACTCCAGAAGTGGATAAGCTCATCCATTTCTAAGGCTTCAATAGCCACAATATACCACTGTTTAGTTCTCTAATTTGTTTCTCTATCGCACTTTGCATTTGAGCTACAGGTACATACACCCAATTACTTACTTGATCTCTCTACTTAGCAGCCTCTACTTAGACACCTAAACTGAACGTCTTAATTTAAATTCACGATCATCCCGCTGAAATCTAGTCTCCTTTTACTGTTCTTTCTCAACAAAAAACACCATCCACTTCTTTACATAAGTGTTCCAGATTATCCCCGTATCTATCTTATCACTAAGAACTGTTATTTTCACCTTTTGAATATCAGAAAAATCCATTTACTTCTTTCCATTCTTTTGCTATCACCTAGAAGAAAATTAATTCTTTTTCCTACTTACTGGTCTCCTGGGGTTCCCTCTAATATAAAGTCTCTACACCACACAGCGTTAACTGTTCACAACCACAAATTTAATCATGTCATGTCACACTGGCCAAAGTTAAAGCCCTCCACTGCAGCACCATGCAAGTCAAGTCATGCCAGTCATACATTTAACTTTATGTGTTTTCAGTAGCCATATTTTTTTCAAAAAAGGAAACAGGCAAAATTACTTTTACAAGATTGTATTTAACTCAATATATCCAATTTCAAATACCAACCCATATAAAGAAGTCAATCAGTTGTTAAAAGCTAACATGAAGGGGCTGGCGCCATGGCTCACTTGGTTAATCCTCCACCTGCGGCGCCAGCATCCTATATGGACGCCCGGTTCTAGTCCCAGTTGCTCCTCTTCCAGTCCAGCTCTCTGCTGTGGCCCGGGAGGGCAGTGGAGGATGGCCCAAGTCCTTGGGCCCCCGCACCTGCATGGGAGACCTGGAGGAAGCACCTGGCTCCTGGCTTTGGATTGGCGTAGCGCTAGCTGTGGAAGCCATTTGGGGAGTGAACCAATGGAAGGAAAGACCTTTCTCTCAGCCTCTCTTTCTCTCACTGTCTATACTCTACCTGTCAAATAAATAAAAATAAACAAAAATTAAAAAGCTAACATGAATATTACTCTTAGCTTACCCAGTGTCCACAGTCACAAGGGGCTAGTAATTAGCATAATGGACAGTGCAGCTCCGGTGGGTCTTTTATTCTTACTCTAAAAGCCTCCATCTTTTCAACTCACTTACATGCTCCACCACGATCTGGCACCCGCCTACCTTCCAGCCTGGCCATCATAACTTTCCTTCTGTACCAACTGCATAGACCTCCTCTTGGTTCCTCTAGCACACCATGCTTCCGGTAGGCAAGGTGTCCCTTCATAGCCAGGAAGTGATGCTGCTGCTCCTGTGTGTTCTCTTCTGTGTCTGATCTACAGAAAACCTCTACAACTGTTCTGCAATATGATGATGGTCTAAGTATACTGTGAGGTCAAAGATGACAACGGTAGACTGGATTATCTTCACTTTAACATTTCTTGAACTTACCATGCAAGATCTTATTTAATCTTTGTAACCCCCCCCTTTAAGAGGTGGTTAAAAAATTTTTTTTTAAATTTATTTGACAGGTAGAGTTACGGACAGTGAGAGACAGAGAGACAGAGAGAAAGGTCTTCCTTCCTTTGGTTCACTCCCCAAATGGCCACTACGGCTGGCGCTGCGCTGATCTGAAGCCAGGAGCCAAGTGTTTCTTCCTAGTTTCCCATGTGGGTGCAGCGCCCAAGCACTTGGGCCATCCTCCATTGCCCTCCCATGCCACAGCAGAGTGCTGGATGGGAAGAGGAGCAGTCGGGGCACAGACTGGCGCCAATATGGGATGCCAGCGCCACTGACGGAGGAGTAGCCAAGTGAACCACAGCGCCGACCCCGGTTAAGATCTTTAGACAAGGAGACATGCTAGTTAAGAGACAAAACCGTCAAAGCCAAGCCTGACTCCAAAGCTAATTCTTTAAGTAACTGCATTGTACTCGGTAGGATATTGGTTTCTGGGTCTGCACTAAAAATAACTAAAACCGAATAAAGTACTGTAGCCACCAAGTTGTATTCATTAGATTCCCTCGCCGTGGAGGGACCTACTTTCCTCAGGTAAAAACGATGATCGCTCCCACTTGGTAGTTTTTCAAAGACACTTAGTGAGCTACACGGACAATACCATTTAACATTCGTGACATTTTAGTGCAACAGGATTATCCCTATCATGAGAAAACAGCAGCTCAAAGAAATTCTTCTGGAAAGGAAAGGAAGCCTGCCTTCTGAGCGGTACGGAGCCGCTCAGAATCTCCGAACCACCGCGACCAGAAGGCACATTACAGTTTGACAGATTCTTTCCCGGAAGACGCAGGTTTGGTTTGGAAGCGAACGAGTACCAAGCCTGCGTCCCAGACAGCGGCTTCCTCTTCGGTTTCTGGTCCTTGCTCCTCAAACTGCAGTTCACCACCCCGTGAGGATCTATCTATATTTTGAGGTTCCCCAGCTCCCTCGCCACTCTCCGCAAATTCTCAGAATGTTTTCTTACCCACTCCGGCGGCCACAAGATCACTCGAAAACCATCCGATCAAAACGAAGCCAAACGCGTAATGTTTACTTCCGCCCTCTCCCAGCAGCCCCTGCGGTAGCTTCCGGATGGCCGACACATGCGCACTAACCACCCTTTGATCTCAGGCGTTCTCGCTCCACCTGTCTCGCGAGATACTGCATTATTGCTCTCTCCCTGTTGACTCGGGGTGACAGGGGTTAAATTCGAGTGCGGCATTTTGCCTTTACTTTGGGGACGTGTGTTTCGTTCTGAATCTTAGAATGAAGAGGAGGAAGAAAGAAGCAGAGACCCAGAATAAACAAGGACTTAATTAAACCTCGCTAGAGGACTATGGAATGAATGGGGACGTTCACGATCTGTTAAGCCACGCTGTTAAAAATAGGATGAATTAGTGCCCAGGCTGTGTGACACGCTGGGGATGTGAACGCAAAATGTCTTTCTCTCCTTGAAATTTCATTAGAAAGAATGAAAAAGACAGTAAAAGTAATTATATAAATAATTTATAGTTTTAAGTCTCTATGAAAGGGATATAAGCTGCTATGAGAACATAAGGCACTTGTTTTATTTATTTATTTATTTGAAAGCGTTACACAGAGAGAGAGAGGTCTTCCATCCACTAGTTCACGCCCCAGTTGGCTGCAATGGCTGGAGCCCAAACGAAGCAAGGAGTCTGGAGCTTCTGAGTCTCCCACGTGGGTGCAGGGGCCCAAGGACTTGGACCATCTTCTGCTGCTTTCCCAGGCCATAGCAGAGAGTTGGATTGGAAATGGAGCAGTCGGGACATGAACCTGTATCCATATGGGATGCAGGCAATGCAGGCAGCGGCTTTACCCGCTATGCCACAGCGCTGGCACCCATAAGTTTCTTAATTGTAAATTAGGAAAAATCCAAATTGTAAATTAGGAAAAAAAATTTATTGACACTGTTATTTGTAGAGTATATGATTCTGTATATATGATGCAGTTCCTGCCTCTGACTTTGTTCTATCCCAACCTGGCTGTTGTAGTCATTTGGAGTGTGAACCAGCAGATGGAAGCTCTCTGCCTCTCTCTTTACCCCACTTTGCACTGCCTTTTAAGTAAATAATGTTTTAAAAATGTATTTATAAAACTCTACAAAATGAATGTTATTCTTTTTTATCAGCACAATCATCAGAACAAAAATCTGCTTATATCTGTAAAATCAGAATCAAAATGGAATGAGTGTGGCTAAAAGCTAATTGCAGATCTCTTGCTTCTGTACATATTAGCTTTGCTTGCTAATGGCTAAGGGTGTATCTTGTGAAACTATGTGGGCCCAAATTCCCAGGAACTAGGTTGACCGAAACACGTCCTTAACTGTTATCTTACCACCATGTCTTGGATCTGTTATTGGGTTTGTTCTTGTTAACTGTTATCTTACAACTATATTCTGGTTTTCCTCTTTATTGTTCACTGCATACCAGGGACCTGGTTCAAAATTATGAGCCCTAGTGGACAGAATACCCGCTGTTGGGGGCTGCACTCTGATAAGGAGTGTTGGTCCCGATTGGTGACCAGTCCCCATTGGTTACCTTACCTCTCATTTGTCTCTCATTTGCTTCTCATTTTCAATAAAATTCATGTGTGACTGTCACTGGTTTTTGAAACATTTTGTTTTAGCTGACGAGTGGATGCAACGTATCACTTCACAAAAAATTTTCTAAAGCTACAAGGGGAAATTTTGGTCCAGTGCTTTTTTCTTCAGGTGAAATTCATCTAACACACACTTTGGCATGTTAAAGTGTAGGATTGAGCAGTATTTAGTACTTTAGTATTTAATAGTGTGTATGTGTGTGTATTAACAACATTGTGTTAGTTTTTTATTGTGCTAGTTTATTACTGTTAATATTCTCAAGTACTTAATATTTGCCTGACCATTTTATCAGCTTGCAAAGATAATACTATTATTATTCTCACTTTTCCAATGAGGAGACTGAAGAATGAAGAGGGAGCAATAGCTTAAAGTGACGGAGTCCAGTTGTGTTTAACTAGAAGACATGTTTTAAACAAATACCATATACTTATTTACATTCGAAATTATATAGCTTCTTATTTTAATACATCTTTATTATGTTATCCTGTTATCAAACCAGGAGGTTAGAAGTCAGATTTTTCAGGGCAGCCATTCTGGTGTGTTGGGTTAAGCTACCACCTGCATGACCCTCAGCCCAAACAGGCAGCAGCCAATTCAAGTCCCAAGTCCTGGATGCTCCACTTCAAATCCAGCTCCCTGCTAATGCACCTGGGAAAACAACAGAAAATGGTCCAGGTTCTTGGGCCCCTGCACCCACGTGGGAGATACAGAAGAAGCTCCTGCCTCTTGGTTTCAGCCTGGCCCAGCCCTGGCTGTTGCAGCCATTTGGGGAGTAAACCAGCAGATGGAAGATCTCTCTCTACAATCCTGCCTTTCAAATAAATAAATCTTAGAAAAAAGTCAGATTTTTCTAGAACTTTGAGGAAGTATGCTAGTTCCATCTCCCCTCATGTCTGAACTTATTTTAAGATTATTTTGCTCAGTTTAGTTTTTCTAAGATTTGAGTAATTTAGTTTGCCAAATACTAAGGATATGCATTAGATAGCCTATTTTATCCCCTTAAAGAAAAAGCTTATGCATTAGAAGGCCAATTTTATACTTTAAACTTACTTAAGTTTTATATATTTGAGGTCTAATATAACTCATCACTATTCAATGTAATGCCAATTACGCAATCTCCTAATCAGCCTATAAAACTCATGCTTCATTGTGCATCAGATTTACCTGTCCCTTTTTGAAACACAGAGATGCTTGACCTACTCCTCAATCCCAACTACAGAATCAGATTCTCTGGGGATGAGGCCCGTAGATCTGTACGAGTGTCGTTAACAAGTTCCCCATCTGATTCAGATGCACAGCAATGCTAGAAAATATTATCACACTCAGCTGTGCCTCAGAAAGTCAGTTTCTAAATCAAATGTTCGAATTGTGTTTATTTCAATTTGGGAATTAACATAAATATAGAGGAAAATTGTGTTAAAAGAAGGCAATCAATAACAAAAGGTTAAAAACATCAGAACCCACTAAAGCAAGGAGGTATTATGAATGTTATTTATAGACTTATGCTCAAGTCTAAGTGAAAATATTTTGTTCTAGATTGAATTGTTTTCTGCTCCCCTGCCCACTACCTCAGAATTTGATTCTGTTTGTAGACAGGACCTTTACTGAGATAACTGAATTACAGCTCTTAAGGTAGGTCCCATCCCAATCCGAATGGAGTCCTCATAAAGTGAGATGAGGACATAGAAAGAGTTAAGAGGGATTTTGCATGCACAGAGGAAAGATCATGCCAGGACACAGTGAGCAGCTAGCCAACTCCAGGCCAAAGAGAGAAGCCCCAGAAGCCAACCCTGCCACACCTTGATCTTGGACTTGCAGCCTTCAGAATTGTGAGGAAATAAGCTCTCTTGTTACAGCCACTCAGTCTGTGGTGCTTTGTTATGATAGCCCTGGAGATGAATATCTTTATCTCCTTTAGGGGCTTTAACTGTCATAGCCTCATGTTCAGCTTTGCCCCATTATGAATCCTACAACACCTAAGCTAATTTTATGATTAGAAAGGTAACAGACATTTATTTCCTTGAAAAAAATTTTTAGTATCCATCTTATATGTTTTTTCCTGATCTAGTTTGTATAGAGTTGAGGTTTTGTTGTTGTTGTCATCCCCTTTCTGTCAAGCTAAAGAAAAAAGAATTTGGGTCATAGAAATAGATGCTTGATATCCAAGCGTCACAATCCATACCTTTAATTTCTTTTCTTTTTTTTTTTATTTATTTGAAAGACAGTTACAGAGAAAGGTAGAGACAGAGAGAGGGGTCTTCCATCTGCTGGTTCACTCCCCAGATGACTGCAACGGCCAGAACTGCGCAGATCCGAAGCCAGAAGCCAGGAGCCTCTTCCGGGTCTCCCACGTGGGTACAGGGGCCCAAGGATTTGGGCCATCTTGTACTACATAGCTGGGAGCTGGATTGAAAGTGGAGCAGCTGGGCCTAGAACCAGGGCCTATATGGGATGCCGGCGCTTCAGGCCAGGGCTTTAACCCACTGTGCCACAGTGCTGACCCCTATATACCTTTAATTTCAGTAGAAAAGTAAAACTCTTTATTTCACTTGAGAAGCAAGTTTTACTTTGAGGTGCACTTCCCTTTCTACCTCACTTAAAGTTTATGACTCATAATATTTGGACCAGGCAGGGCCTGGATGACAGCCCTATGCCACTTGCTTGTTTGACTATGTTGGACTGAGTTCTTGCTCAACCCACTGCTGCCATGAACACTAAGTAGAATTTTAAAGGGCAAGAGGAGAAAAAAATCTTTCCTGTTTTCAAAAAATGGGAGGTGGTGGTTGGACTGGCATAGATTAAGCTACCAATTGCAATGCTAGCATCTCAAATGTGCATTATCGTTTGAGTCAGGGATGCTCCACTTCCCATCCAGCTCCCTGCTAATGTTCTAGGAAAGCAATGGAAGATGGCCTAGGTCCTTAAATCTCTGAACCCAAGTGGGAGATCCAGATGGAGTTCCAGGCTACCGGCCCAGCCCTGGCTATTATGACTACTGGGGAGTGAAACAGTGGATGGAAAAATCTCTCGCTTTCTCTCTGTCGCTCTCTCTGTAACTCTGCCTTTCAAATAAATAAATAAATAAATCTTTTTTATTAAAAAACCACTGTCAAAGTTCACTTCAATGTTAATTTGCCTTTCCAAATTTCTTTGTTTAAATAGACTATATTTTGAATTTATAGTTTACAGCACAATTTAGCAAAAAGTAAAGAGCTTCCATATGCCTTCTCACTCCCCATCCCCAGAGCTTCCCCCACTATCCTGTTCTACTCCTGAGTGGCACATTGGTTATAACCAGTGAACCACACATGCGTATCTCTGTCTCCCAAAGTCCATGGTTTATTTACAACAGCATGTTTACAACAGATGTGTGTCCTATGGGCTTGGGCAAATGCTTAATGGCATGTATCCATGATTATGCTATCATACAGAATAGTTCCTTCTGTGCTCCATGTTTTCATATTTCCCTTCCT